CCATGGACCATCCAGGACCCGTGGCAACCTGCGGCCAAAAAGGCACCCGCACCCAGCGGAACCAACTTGACCATTGATGCGTTGCAGAAAATGGAGCAGCGCATTCATCAGAGCATGGATGCCAAAGTTGCCGCGGTCCAGTCGGGAGGGCCTCCAATGGCTGACTCACGTATCGCCGCGCTGGAGCAGCAAGTGAAACAGATCCACACGCAGCAGGGTCACATGGAACGCTGGGTTAAAGAAACCACGCAGCAACAAGGATCACAAATCCAGCAGCTCCAAGGCAGCATGGAGCAACAGGCCCAGCAAATGACCCAGCTGTTTGACAAGCAGATGGAGCGCATGGAGCACCTGCTTGCCAAACGCTCGCGCACAGAGTGAAGTGCGGAGGAGACTCCGAGCCAAGCTACCGACTCGGAGTCTCCCAACTGCCATCAGGTAGCCAAGGAGTGGAGCATTGGGTGTTGCAATCCTACTGGGATTGCGGGGAAGGAGGGAGTCCTCAATGATCTCCCTGCCGGAATTTGGGGCATTTGTGAAACACATCTCACATGTGAAGGGCGACGCAAATTCGCCGTAGGCCTCAAGCATGTGCAGTCACAGTTTACGTATCAGATCCACGGCCAGGCCGCTCCTCGCAGGCCACACTCAGATCATGCCGGTGCATGGACCGGAGTTGCAGTTATCTCCAACATGCCCAGTCGTAGTATCCCTGCCAGGTGGAGTCCTCAGGTGTGGGAAACAGCCAGAGTTGTCACCGCCACCACCTTAGTGCAAAACGTGTGGGTCAGTGGCGCGGTGGTGTACGGATATCCAGCTGGTGTCAACCACCCGGATGCCTTGAACCAGACCATTGCATTGTTGCAAGCCAGTGACCGCATAGTGCACCAAATGACTGGACCCCGGTACATCACAGCAATTTCAATCACCTTCAAGATCAGCTGGCTATTCTTGCTGAATGGGCCGATCACGGGTTCGTAGAAGCCCAGGACTTCGCCAAGTCACGCTGGGGGCAGGAAATCGAAGCCACCTGCAAGGGGTGCAGCCGCAAAGATTTCTTGTACGTTTCACGGGAGCTTGCCCTTGCGTTGCGCCGGGTGGACATACACCCCGATTTCTTTTGTGACCACGCAGTAGTGCAGGCTACCTTTGGTCCCATCGGAGAACGGTCGGCGCAGTGGACGTGGCGCATGCCTGTTGCAGTACCCACGGACCCCACTGCACAGTGGGACAACACACCAATAGCCATAGATGCCGAAGCACACCCAACTGCGCAATACCGCTCTATGATGCAAGAGCTCGAGCACCGAGCCATGGAAGCAATGGGGCCAACAGTGCTCCCACAGCATACCGGACGTGGCGCTGGAGAGTGTGAAAAGTCGAGGCCCGGCAGTCTCCCTCTGATCAGGTAGGGTAGGTGAGGTTGCCCCCTTGTTCTTTGGGGGTTCACTGCATTACGCCCGATGGTTTCGCCAACTACGTAGGTTGCAAGCATACACACAGCTTGTGCGTAAGAACTCATGTAGTGTCCAAGCCACGGTCCACAAAGTCTCATTGTGGTCGGCCATTGTTAATGCCCCTGGGTTTGCCCCCAGTTTTGTCGAATGGTGGGAAGCCAGACATGTTCATCGTGTAGGGGATGTAGATCAAGTGCCAACACAGGCACCCTCGCTTGAGATCGCTCAAGGTATTTTCCTTGCCTTTAAAGCAGAGGTGCATCACCTTGAGTATGTCCTGTCACAGCAAAGGTTTCAGCAAGCCAAACAGAGACGGAAGGAAACTGCCCGCCTGGTTTTTCGGGACATTGCCAGGGACCAGCCTCTCCCGGTTGATGTGTTGCTCAAAACCACTGCCGCGCAGGTTACACAAGTGGATCAAACTAGCGGAGAGCTTCACCTCACCTCAACCAGGAAGTCTCATTCGTAGCGGATCAGCCAATCCAACTCAACGGGCAGCCCATTCAAGCCATCATGACAGGTGCCGACATGGTCTGGTATAACCCCCTTTCATGTACACCACAAGTAGGGGACACCATTGCGCAAAATGACTGGAAGGGATCCCTACCCGAGCTCTTCACCGCCTTTCAGTCCGAATGGGCACAGCGATGGGATCGGCACCGCAATGTGACACCTGACCGGTGGGACGAGGTCAATGCCCTCATCCAGCATTTGCCAGATGCGCCAGCCAGCCCGAGCATGCCCATACTGACAGAAGATTTCCTTCGCGAAGCACGCCGAAAGAAAAGCACAGCTGCCACCGGGCCCGACGGTCTGGCCCGCTCCGACGTGCTGGCCATGCCCACCGCAGTTGTTGATGGCCTGGTGCAAGTGTGCTCCCAAGCAGAACTCAGTGGAGTGTGGCCACGCCAGGCTATAACCGGCATTGTTAGCTCCTTGCAGAAAGGGGACCGATCGTCTGTAGTAGGCGAGTACTGTCCCATAACTATTTACAGCCTCACTTACCGAACATGGTCCTCTATACGAGGCCGACAAGTGCTAAGCCACCTCCAGCAGTACTGTAGCCAGAATGCTTTTGGCAACATGCCCAAACGCCACGCCAAACAAATTTGGTGGCAGACGCAGCAACGTGTTTCCTTCGCAGTGCATAATGACCTGTCTTTTGCGGGCCTGGTGTGTGATATCTGCAAGGCCTTCAATTGTTTGCCTCGGGAGCCGATTTTCCAGGCAGCCATTCGCCTTGGAGTCCCCGACTCCATACTTCGTGCTTGGTGGGGTGCCCTCCATGCCATGGAGCGACGGTTTCGCATCAGGGGTAGCATAGGCCCTCCCATCACATCATGTACAGGCTTCGCAGAAGGGTGCGCACTCAGCTGCGCGGCAATGGTGATAGTACACATCCTGTTCGAAGTTGCAGTAAAAATGCAGGTGCCGCGCACCACCCCGATGTCATACGTCGACAACTGGACGGCGCAAGCCGACCGTGCAGATGATGTAGTAGCAGCTTTCCGTGCGGTGCAACGGTTCGCAAACGCGGTTGACCTAATCTTAGACCTCACAAAAACCTACGTGTGGGCGACCGCTGCGAAGAGCCGCCAAGCACTCAAGCAGGCCGGACTCACGGTGTCCCTGGGAGCCAAAGACCTTGGAGCCCAGATGAATTTCTGTGCCAAGTCCGCTAACAAGGCTCAAATGCGGAGATTCAGCGACATGCAGGACATGTGGATCAAGTTCAAGCGCTGTTGTAGTCCGTACCACGTGAAGGTCCAGGCCCTCAAAGTTGCCGCTTGGCCGCGTGCGTTGTATGGAGCCAGTGTTGTTCACCTCCCATGGCGTGCTTTTGGCAGCCTCCGCGCAGGGGCCATGCAGGGCCTCGGGGTTAGTAAACCGGGGGCCAACCCTCTTGTCCATATCGGATTGATTGAAGGGCCTAAGACCGACCCATGCTTCTTGGCCATCATAGACGCAATTAAGGACATGCGGGAGTTTGGCCCAGCCGAGCAAGCGTGGGAACACACATGTGAGCTGGCAAGGCTGCCCATGGCCAAGTACCCGACTGGCCCGTGTGGGGTCCTCCTTAGTCGGTTGCATTGGCTCCAGTTGGCCGTCACACAGCACGGACAAATCGCGGATGATATAGGTGCCTTTCATCCCATGCATGCGCCCATCCAGGAGGTACACATTCGACTGCAGCGAGCTTGGTGCCGTCATGTAGGCCGCATAATCAGTGCCAGGCCCGGATTCGAGGGAATGGCCACCGTTGATGTACATGCTTCAGTTGCCCACCTCCGAAACCTCCCGGACATGGACCAGGGAGTACTTCGGGTCGCGCTAAATGGCACATTTTACACCAATGACTCGCTCAAGCACATACAGCAAACTGAGTGTGATGCGTGCAGTTTTTGCGGAGCAGCCGATGGAATCATGCACCGGAACTGGAACTGTCCGTTCTTTGCCTCCGCACGAACGCCTTGCAGTGAAGCTGATCTCGATGCCCTGGAGTCTGGGCCTCCGTGTCTTGCGTTGCATGGATGGGTCCAGGAAGCCCGAGCCTACAAGCCTTTCTTGCAAGCACTTGGAGAGCTTCCGGACACCCTACACCGCTATGAGCCATGCATAGTGACAGCCTCGGTCATCGACCTGTTCGTTGACGGGGCATGTAGGGATCCCACCGACCCTGCTATCCGAGTGGCCTCGTGGGCTGTCCACCTTGTCCAGGCTGGCGACCATGCCGAGGAAGTCAACCCCTTGGCGGGCGGCGTGCTCCCGGGGCTTGTCCAGACTGCCGTAAGGGCCGAAATCACAGCCATGGTGAGTGCGGTCTACTTCGCCCTGGCCAGTGATGCCGATGCCCGCGTGTGGTGTAATAATCAACACGTTGTCAACAGAACACGTGCAATGTGGCAGCAGGACATCAGTGTCCACCCGAACAAGCCTGACCATGACTTGTGGGAAAAACTCCAGCACGGACTCGCCATCCTCAAGCAGCGAGGGCGCACGTTACAAGTCATCAAGGTGGCCTCGCACACAGCTCCAGAAGCAGACTTGGGACCTGTCGAAACGTGGGCTCGTGTGCACAACACCACAGTCGACGCCCAAGCCGGGTGGCTCAACAATAGCCGCAGCGATGCCTTCAATCAGATGCACAGGCAGTTGATTGCACAGTTAGGATTCCTTCGCCCACTTGTCCAACGCGTACAACGGGTTCACATTGCAGTGGCACATGCCGCCTTGAAGGAACAGGTACGCCGAGGAAGTCGCGCGGAGCTGGAGGCGCCGCCTGTCTCCATCACACAGGTGGCCCCTCACATGGAGGTGCCACACGCATTGCACACATCTCTCGATAAGCACTTTCAGAAATACGGCCACCAGGTTGCCCAGGCCGTACTGGATTGGTGGCCAGCCACATACGATGAGGCTGTCCCGGTGCAATGGTGTAGTGTGTTCTAGTTGTTGGTGGACTTCCAAAAGTCTACGGGCCACAAAGGTCCAGTGCAACTTGCCAAAGGAGGTTGGGCCATTGCAGGAGACTGCCTGGCCGCTTCACTTGTAGTAGCCCCCAACGCTCAGCGCATTACCTGGTTTCTGCAGGTACTCAAGGATGTCTGGGGCGCCCAAGGCATCTTGCTTCGCTCCGCATATGTGCGCCCCGACAGTGGCGCGGTTCGAGTATGGACTCGGTGCCTCCCTTGGCGGCGGTTGAGACCTGGCTCCGGGAACATCTCCCAGCCGGGGTGGTTCAGCGCGGAGGGGTTGGTATACAGGCCTTGCCTACGGCCAAAGTGGATGAGGAATTCATTGCCCAACACGCTGACAGACAGCATGGGTTGCATCGATGGTTTCAGGCCGCATAGCGCCTAACCTAGGGTAGAGGATATGCTCCACTAAATGCCGAGCATATGCAGCTTGTCGAAAAGTGTCAAAAAGATGTTTTTTTTTTTGGGGGGGGGTTAGGCTTGGTTGAGGGTTTGGATTGGTTTCGGGCTGGTTTAGGGCAGGTTTAGGGTGGTTTAGGGTGGGTTTAGGATCGGTTTTTGATGAATTCAGGGTCGGTTGAGGGTCAGATGTAGGGTGGGTGTAGGGTGGGTGTAGGGTGGGTGTAGGGTGGGTGTAGGGTGGGTGTAGGGTGGGTGTAGGGTGGGTGCAGGACTGGTTCCAAAAGCCACCAACAAGCATCAAACATGCGCAAAAGCCGCCAAAAGCTTCAAACAATGCGCAAAAACAAATAACAACAAACATACAGAATAATATATGCACAGTTATGTGTGTACATATATATATATATATATGTGTGTTATTATTATTATTATTATTATTATTATTATTATTATTATTATTATTATTATTATTATTATTATTATTATTATTATCATTATTATCATTATTATCATTATTATCATTATTATCATTATGATTTGTCTATATGTATATATGATTGATTCCCGAAAACAAAACGCCCTCCTTTTCTGTTGGCCCATGTTGGAAACCACCCAAGCGGAGCCCGACCGGCTTTCCAGATCCGTCCTTTCCCCAGCCGCAGGCGTAGAGCTCATTCCCCGGGCCCTCAGCCTCGAAGAAGGAGAAGAAACCTTTGGCGGGGAATTCACCCCAGTCACCCAGTGCAGTGACCCTGATCAAAAGAAAGGAAGGGAACCCTTGTTAGGGGATAAATCGTTGGTGCCACTGGTGACGTTCTGCCTGGCACATTGAAAAATGAGCGGGACATCTGCATGGTTATGGTCCACTGTTTCTATGATTATATTATATGATACCCGACGTGAGGCTCCCATCCCTATGGCTACTGAATGTCACTTGGAAGGGGATTCCAACTTGGCCACTCACAGAAAGCAGGATCTGCCAACCCCTCAAATCAAGGTTGTCCAAACCCTCCGAACCAAAACGCAGCCTCGAAACGAAGGACACACTCCTATATGAATGTCCGAGAGAGAGGACTACCAGTTGCTATCGATAGGGGCCCCAAAACCGACACCCTGGTAGCATTGTCTGTTCCACTTCGTTTCTCCCCCCCGCAAAAAAAAGAAGAAGAAACTACACACTCCCCCAAAAACCCTGCTTCCCCCCCCCCCCAAACACCAATACCCCCCGCCCCAAAGCCGCCCCTCCCTGCCCTCCCCAAACCGCGCCTCCGCAGGCGGCGGCGCGCACGGGGCGCTCCTTGGGCAACGCCAACGGCTCCGGCGCCACCAGCTGCTGCGCCTCGCCCTGGCCGCACTGCCCTGGCGGCGCTCCGTTCAGGTTTGTGTTCGGCGAGGAGAGAGAAAAAGAAGGAGTGGAACAGAAAGAAAAAAATGTGTTTGTGTGTTCGGAGAGAAGAAACGTTCGTTTAACTTGGAGGGACACATTCCCCATTTGGAGGGCACATTCCAAATGGAGTGGCCCCAATGCTTTTGTTGAAGGTACCCTTATTTAGTTTGGAGGGTACATTTGGGAGGGATCCTTGAAAGCAAACCTAAAGAAACTCATGGTTGAAAATGGGGAATCAACCTCTAGAGTTTTGTTTGGAGGGTACCTGCAGAAAGGAGCCCAAAAACGGCAAAGCGGTGGCAAGGTGACAACGCATTGGGGGCTCCATGTGGAACACAGGTGGAACCCTTTCAAGGGTCAGGGGCTGTGTCCCTTTTGTGGCCGAAGCCCTTTAAACTTTCTGTATTGCCAACCGGGATATATGGTGGACCCAGACCCGTGGCCATGGGAGCGCATCAGTTCTTTCGGTCGATTTGGACCCCTTGTTGGCTGCTTTTGGAGGGAAACCAATGTGGAGGAGCTCCTAATTTTGAGACGCACCCAGAAACCCCTTCCCCCCAAAAAGAAACAAGGGCGCCACTGAGTGTCTGGGACCACTCATGGTTTCGTAAAGTTTTCTCCTTTCTGCGACAACTGAATGACTCCCATCCCGCCTCTGTCACTTCAAAGCAGATTCCCAAATAAGGTCTGCCAAACGTTGGCCCGGGTTTAGTTGTTGATTTCAAGGGCTTGGGTCCCAAACAAAGCGAAAACAAGTGGACCCTGGGGTTATGGCGTGTGCCAAGGAGAACTTCCGAAATGGAAAGGCCGTGCTCCCCTGAACAACCCCAAAAAGATACCAACTTGGCAAAGACACATCCACAGTTTCCTTGTTGTGTTGTTTCCATAGTCAGATACCCACCAAAGGAAATCTGACTGACGATGGGCCCAACGGGTAATGTTCAAACCAGCCCCAAAGGGAAAATATGGGCTTGTCTCAAATTGGGTAACCCTTAGCTGGGTGGTTTCCCTGTGGTTTCCCTTTAAAACAACGCCGCAAAAGCGTTCCCTAAAACCCCAAGCCTCCAGTGGCCATGGGAAAAAAGGCGCAAAAGATCAGCACCACCCGGTGTCTGGCCAAAAAATACACGCCGGCCCGTACAGGGACCCAACTGTTCACAACAAAACTCACTTGCCCAAAGGACCGAGAAAGAAAAAGCTTAACCTCTAACCTTGACTAACAATGGACCGAAACGGGAAAACCAAAAGATCAAAAGGTCGATTCGCTTCGGGCAAAGCGCCCTCCGATCGCGGTTGCGGCGCGTCGCTGGCCTTTGCGGTTGCTCCCGAAGGTGTAGAGCCGCCGGTCTTCGTCGATGACGGCGCTGTGGACCCCGCCCAGCGAGACGCGCCAGGCACGGCCTCCGTTTCGCTGGTGTGACATGGCCCAATTGCTCGAAAGAGGTTGTGACCCAACAAATAGTTACACACTTGAAGATGTATAAAACATATATATATATATATATCATACAATGCGGGTGTATAACATGGGCCAAAGAGGGAGATCCCGAAAGGCGCAAAGGACAAAAGACAACACGGGCGCCCCTGTTCTTGGCAGTTGATCTTAAAGGAGAAGCGGCTCCAATTCAAGCAAAAACGGCACCACTATGGGTAACACATCCTCGAAGGGTACCAAGGGACCCTCCAGGCAAGGTACATTCTTCTGAGCCCCACAACCCCATTCTAATGATTGAAGCCTCCTTTCATCCTTCAAATGATCCCTTTTGCTGGTGGCTTAAAGGGACACCACCCTGAAATGACAACCGTTGAGAACCCTGGAAATGCGACCACTTTACCGCACGGAACCAAGTTGCCCCGGGTGATGTGAATGAAAGACGCGGAGCACCGATGTTCGATGTTGTACTTCAACCGACTTGGGTTACGCTCTACATACTGGGGGCGAGGCGGCACCTGAATCCCAAAAGGGGCCATATGTGGCTATGAATCTGAAGAGTTTGAACCTCGTGGTGGACAAGAATCCCCGCCGAATTCTGATGTGCACCGAAGGGTCCAACCACTTGGAATTCATACCCATATTGTTGCCCATGTTGCTCTTCTCGTTGGTAAGGGGGTGAATGATCCTCAATGTCCTGCGCGTTATCCCTCCCTCCAACGCCAGTAAATTTGAACATGGTCTCATAGGATTTGGTCCCTGGGAAACCAAAAGGCAACCAAATCCTAGAGGAATCATTGGAAGCATAGGTAAGCCTTTTGAAACATCGATGGCCCTGGTAAATGGGGCCTAAACCAGTGTAACCCATCTATCCCTAACCAGACTAACCTAACCACAGGGCCACCAAAAACGGACCAAAGTTTGTGCGGGAACCACCTGAAGGTTGGTCAACTCCTCAACCAAAAGGAGACGCCACGCGTGACACCGACGCCTCGGCTTCGGCCGGGCCGGGCCCCGCCTGGCAGCTCCACGGGCCGCGGCTGCGGCGCCACAGGCAGAAGCTCCCGCGCCAGGCCGAGGCCCAGCTGCCCGTAGTCGTTGCCTCGGGCGTCGGATGGCTTCCACGGAAGTTGGACCCAAAATGTCGGTTTCCCCGGTTGCATGACTAGAGTTAGGCCCAGTTGTAGAATGTATATTTTGTTGGTTGCTTCACTTTGAGTCACTGGTCAAATGTAAAATGTATCCTATTTCTACCCAAGGTTCTTTCCCAGCCAATTCCGGTTGGTTTAGGCTGGGTTTCGGGTGCGTAGTTTTACGGTAGGCTTGTGCCTGGCTTGGTGCAGGGTCAAAAAACCCTTGTATGTACCTGAGGGCAGGTCCAGAGGCCCAACTCTGGCTCGTTGCTTCCGAGGCACTACCCCAGGTCCAAAGGCGGCCATCCTGGGTGATGACCGCGCTGTGGTAACCTCGCTGCGCGCGGAACGCTTAGGACATCTCGTGGCTTAGTGAGGCATCCGAATGTTCGCAGCGCAGGGTCGGAATTGTGTCCGAGAGGGGCCGACCTGTTCTGACCCACTCAGCAAGCGGCGAAGCAGCCGCTGGAAAAAGCTGCTGCCAAATGGCTTGGCAGCGGCTTAGGCCTTCAAACTGATCTCTCTGGGCAAAAGCCTGTCGTAAAGAAAAGAAGACATCAGGAAACCACATGTCGTGCTAGTTTGCCCAGATCTCTCCTCCATGCTAAGGACAACTGCCATGCTTCTTCGGGGAATCGATGTTTGTTTGTTCTTGAAATTGGGAGGGGCGCCGCCTTTGGGATGCTAATTCAAAAGGCACTGAAAGGAGTCCCTGCCTTTGGGGGTATCTGGGAAATAACCAGATCACCTTTGCGCGACATTCTCGAATCCAAAGAAGCAGCACGTTTGCGCACGCAAATCAATCGAACGACTCCACCTCAGGGACCCCAAGCATCCAATGAGATTCTTGGTTCAAAGCTCACTGATTCAAAAGAGACCCCCCATGAGACCCCAATCATTTTCCGACCATGGTGCTTGACCAGACTAGTAGGCAGGGACAGTCCCCAAAGATCTTAGTTGAATATCCCAGTTGGCTATGAACGTCAGTTGTTGGAACACTCGAGAATGGTTGGTGTGACGCTTTTGGACGATTTTGACAGGAAGCCAAATGAGCACAATTCATTTCAATATTGGAGGGATTGCCATGCCATGTAAATGTCCACCAAAGCCACCATTCGCCCAAGACCTGCCGACCTGGAGAGCAATCGATCCAAACCCCAAGGTGTCCCATCCAAAGTGAGCAAAATGGAGTGGCCAATCCCAATCAAAGTAATCTCTATTGGAAGACACGATCCAAAGGGGACCAAATCCTTCAACCCAAGGTAGCCAAATACGGCCTTAAGAAGACCGTAGGGTCTTGTGGGGGAAACTGGAGGGGGAGGCTTGAGGGAGATGGGTGTTTAGAAAGGAGTGTGTCCAAAAAGGGGAACCGCTACAGTGTGTTTTTTTTTCTGTTTGGTTCCCGGTAAACCCGGTCGGCTTCAACCTCAAAAAGAGTGACCTCAAAACTCTATGCCCAGCGCAGGCACACATGCATGTGTGCATGCACACGCACACATGCATGCACACCCCCACCCTTGGCCCAAAGCAAGGGACGCCAAACCTTACAAAACATGTTCCATGTAATTACCCTCTCACCAATTTTCACATGGAACCTGAAGTTCGGGAACTGGTCCCTTCAACGGGAAATAGTCTTCCAGGACCCCCCCGAAGGTCGAACGATTCCATGTGAATCTTTTTGGGAGGGGGGTCGCCGAAAAAAAAGAACATCCATATAGCTGTGGGTTAGAACCCTGTACCCCTGGTGAACATCAAAATAGGTGGCAAAGGGATATTCATCCACCCCAAAATAAGCCATACAAAGACCGCGGGATCCCGAGACCTGCGCTCTCGCCGAGAGGCCGCCCGCCGCCACGGCGGTCACCGGCAGCAGGTCCAGCGCCCGAGGGGTGGGCTGGTTCAGGCCGAGGCTCCTCGGCAGGCCTCAGACGGGCTGTGGTCAAAACCGTTTTGGGATCCCATTCTGGTTGGTAGGTGATTCACCACCCATTTTATAACCTATTTTAGTGGGGATTGGTTGATGTTCACTGGGGGTACGATTTGGATTTGACCCACAGCCAGATGGCTCGAGGAGCGATGTGTCCCGCTTTCGGTGGGTTTTCGTCATGGGAAACCACTGGTCACGCAGCTGAAGGCTTTTAAATGCTGGCGACTTGGGGGGGTTTGGGGTTCTAAAGGGAAACCAAAGCCCCTATTTTGAGACAGACCCTTTGGGGCTGGTTTCAAGCATTACCTTTTTGGGCCCGAAAAGAGATGTCCGCTTCCTTTGGCGATGTTCAAAGGGGAAGTATGGAACAAACTTTGAACCCGCGAAATGAGCTTCGCCGTTCCGGGCCCAAACCACAAGTCCCAACCGCGTCAAAGCAGGGAGACCCTTAAATCACTGGTGGTCCTTCGTTTTCAGCCTGAAAAGGGCACCCAACAGAGCCAGGCGAACGTGTCAGCTTCCCTCTGGCTGATTGGAGCCCGGTCGTCTGCAGCTAGGTTTCCCATTTTGCCCATTTGTCCTCTACAAGAACCTGGGTTTAAGCCCCCAATCCAGAAATCCCAACCACCCTGTCAAAATAGAGGGCCTAAAATGGTGGGTGTGTGTGTGTGTTGGTTCCGTTTGCAACAAGTTGCAAAGGCTACCCTCAAAACAAAGCGCGCCGAAATGAAGATATTGTCAAACGAACAGCTTGATACGCGAACATTAAGAAGCCAACAACGAAATACGACACAAGATCACCAACAAGCTTGGCACGGAACCGTACACTGGCCTGAAAAGGATCCGCTTGCCCTACATGGGCCATTCCAAGTTCTTCGCCGTGCGGAGTGCTTCTACCAACATAGGTATAAATTTCATTAGGGCACCCTTTGGTGGACATCAGAATGCGGCGGGGTTTCATGTCCACCAACAACTTTTCAGGTGGCTCCCCGTTAAAACTCATGGCCACATGAAAGCTGATGGAAGGTGAAACTCAATGCCCTTGAGTCCGTTTCGTGTTAGTGAAGGAAAGTCCAGAGTCCACGCCCACAAAACGCCCTGAGTCCACAGCACCCACAGCGTTGACCCCAAATAAGATCCTAGGAGATGAACAACTCGCCAAACAATGATTATTTTTGGCCCGTTCTCCACTCGGGCTGGTCAGCAACGCCCCAGATTCATCCGCTTTGAAGCGCTGAGTGGAACTCAGAAAAGCTTCGGGTGATTTTCACACGGCTTGAGTGAACCCAATATTGAACTTGGCTGACAAGCATCCCCTATTGGTGTTCAAACGATCTAAGAGGCACAAAAGACGGGGCATGTTCAAAAAGTTTGTACACTTGCCCACGGCTATTTCAATTTCCAGACGCAAAGCCTGAACCACCGCGGAAGCAAACCACTCGGTATGAAGTTGCTGAGCAATCCAATGACAACTCAAGGAGAACTGGGTCTATTGAGGTGCCACTGACAAAATCACCCTGCAACTGGCGACTTTGAGACAAAAAGACTTCACAGCAAATTGCAGAGCCTCGCAAAGTTCACTTTACAACATCCAAGCACAAACCAAATGAAACCAAAGAGCAGTACGTGAGAGGTGTGAAGGCGAATCTAGGGTGCTGGCTTTCTGTGAACCATTTGCCGGCGAGCCACGCATTTTGGATTCCTTCATCGTGGTCTGAGCCTCAGCTGACGGCGAACACTGACAGCACTGAATCAGAGGAATGTGCATAAGTTGAAACTTCCCAAGTGGCCATGAAGGGGTCGATAAGCATCCCTACCACCCCCAAGTAAAGCGGTGCCTTCTGGTCCCTCCCCAATGGACCATAGACAAAAATGGACATTTCGACCAAACCCATCCCACGGCCGTTCCCACCGTGGGTTGCTCCAAGCCCCCCCCGGAGCAAAAGGTCGAGCATCTTTTGTAGGTTTGATCGAAAAGCTAAAAGGTCGGCACACCAAAGCCCAGCTAAGTATAGTTGGCGCTTTCACCAAAATGCGGGTACTTAAAGGGAAACGAAAAGGAAACAACAAACATGCGCACCACTATTTTGAAACCCCCCCGAAGAGCTTGTATGGGTGTTCATTTTTAGGAGACGCCCCATGGCTTCGGTGTTCCTTTTGGCTTGATTTACCAAGAAAGGAATACCCTCCCACCAGCTCACATGAAACCTGACCTTCGAGGGTCCTGGTTTCGACCACATTCCTTTCAAAGGGACCATTTCCCGAACGTCGACCGGTTCCACATTCATGGGAGGGTGGCCTCAAATAAAGACGAGCCGCCCATGTGCGACCCCCAGATGCGTTCCAAGGCGCGAGCACCAGCTCCGGGCCCTGCTCCTGGCCCCAGCAGAAGGCCCGCCCCGAGGCGGACAGCGCGAGGCCGTGGAACTCGCCTGGCGCGTTCGTAGGGGGCGACCTGTGGGGTTTTTGGGTGGGAAAAAGTAAGCGTTTGTTGGGTGTAAATGATGCTTGGTGGTAGGAAAAGGGAACCATGTCGTGTTTTGGGGGGTTGACTTGGTTGGGTTTGGAAACGTAGGGCACCAGAACAAGCGCCACAAAAGCAAATCCGCTATTGCGTTGAATGATGATTCAAGCAAAGCGGGTTTGGGCAAACATGTTTACACCATTTGCACCACCTCCCAGTTGCAACCAGTGAGCCTGGCTACAAAAAGCGGACACTTCCTTTCTGGACCTGACCGTTTTCAATGAACCCATCAATACAAACAGAAGGGTGCTGAACTGGGCTAACTCACTGAGGAACCCGTCCAAAAGCGTTCGTGGCCTCCAGCTTCGTGCAAAACCTTAGCACGCAACTGGGTTCGTCAAGATCCGGTTTCCCTTATACATGTCCAGTCAAGCCAAGCTGAAAAGCAGTACCCTCAACAAACACACGGCCGGGGTGCATGACAAGATGTTGGTCCCTTGTCCACTGCCGTCCCGCAAGCGGAGGCCTAGCTGCACTTGAACCAGGGCTTCGTCTCCAGGAACCTGGCTGGTGGGTTCACTTGGCTGTGTGTTCACTTGGCTGTGTGTTTGAGGGAACCAGTTTCAGGTTTGTTGAAAGGAAGCAAGAGGGAAAACCAACCACCCTTGTTGGGGTCCTTTGACACATACTCCTCCCCCTGTCCGAAAAGTTGCACATGAACCACTTCGGAGGCTTGAATTTCGCCCCAGACGGAGAAAACAACAAAACCTGAGAGCCCTAACATCTCGCTCAAGGTCCGATCCACTTCCCCATGTTTTCAATCCAACGACTAAAGGACCAAAGTTCCAAGGCCCTCAATAGATTAATCCAGATCAGAGCCCAATTCCTCGCGTAATGGGACATATCCCAGCGCCAACTGCCAAACCACAAGAAAAGCCTTCTGGCAACCAGCTGGCTCCCCCGCGACGAAACGAGGTTCCAAACAGGGCTTGCCTTGAAAACCCTGCATGGCATGCGAAGCCCTCAAAGAGTGTAGAACACTTGAGAAGGATCTTTAAAGGGTCCCTATTCCCCGAAAGTTGCGAAATGGGGTGGGGTGGGGTGGGATCCTTCCAAACACCGGGTTCCTTAAAAGAACATTATTTGATCAATCCCAGCTGCACGAGGAAGCCGCTCTTTCAAAAGTGGTTACTGGATTCTTCATGCTCAGTACCATGCGTAAAGGCTGGAGGGTAGCCAGGAATGATGTGCTCCACACTGCCTGTCGCCTTCTTTGTAACCCTAACGATGAGTACGTCGATCAGGGGAAGCATCCTATCAAAGTTTGTGTCACTCTTGAGGATGTCGTTCATCGTGTTGGGGACTGGAGGAGCAATTCTTACTTCGGCAGCTTTGTCATCGCAAAACAGCTTTGTGCCAAAACACCTGCCCGAAGACATACTTTTGCCTTCGCTCTGGGCACCGAGACTGATCTTGATCCGAAGAGTGACACACTATGTCAGGATATTCGATGCCTGCTGAAACGCAAACCTTTGAAGCCCGTCCTCTTGGACCTTTGGCTCTCACTGACTGGTACTGATATTCCAGCGACCGAAGACCATGGCCCATATATGGAGTTTTGACCATGGCACATGTAGGTCCAGTCGTCAATAGAGGGAAAAACAGGAACACCCCGCTTTGGGTTGGAATAAAAACAGGTTGCCTTCTCAAATATGGGTTGGTCTCCCGTGTTGATCCACAGCACCAACCCCGTGTAGGGTGTTTCGACCATGGCAACCACCTTTGCGAAGTCAGTCTTTTTTGGGCGGTGTTAAGTTGGTCTCCAAATGGCTATGTTTTTTCATGACCAATACCCTCCCAAATGGTTGGTTGGTGGACATAACTCCCCCAAATTGAGCCAACCTAAAGTTCTTTTCTCGCCTGAAAACCGTTTCTGGCGTCGCCAGGTATAGAAGATTGGGGCGAGAGTGCTGTGGACCTCTTGCTGAGCGTGGGCTGCTGAGCAATGTGTTTGTCTGGGGCCGGGGTGAGTTTGTCACGTGCGACAAGAGGTGTGTTCAAGCGTCTCGCGAATCGCCTTGAGCTGCGTCATGGCGCGCACCAGTGCGCCCTTGTCCACGCCGCACTGGTACGTCTCGTTGGGACCTTGGTCTCAAGTGGGCTCACACAATTTCCTTTTGTTTCCCTTGTTGGCGGATTGAAACGTCGCCTTTTTGGCCCATGTAATTTGAGTTGCCCTTGCTAGGGGCTGGTGATGTTTCTACGTACATATAGGGAATCCTGTGTCATGGGCAGGGCTGGGCCAATTGAATCAGCATTTTTTAACCAGGATTGATTTCACATCCTTTTGGTTTTCCGTTGCAAAGGACACAAGTCTAGCCGTTTGAAAAAACTTTGACCAACTCTTACAGGGGAACCTCCAAACATGGGCCCGGTTTCCCTTTGTTTGCCGCTTAAAAACGAGGAGCCCTGGCAAGCTTCTTCGGATTTCGGAAGCGAGCTACCGGAAAATCAGCAAGTTAGCTAAAACCCTGGTGTAGAACTATCCGTGAAATTGCTTGACTTTCTGAAGCCGGTTTCTTGTTTCGCAGGAATTCTACCCAGAGAAGAAGCAAGGGCCTAAATAGATGTAATTGTGAACTACTACTTTAAAACGAAATTTGGTCATGTTTGTGTGAGTAAACTATTAGCAGTAAACTCGCCCCTTGTATGTCCCCTTGATTAAGCCTCCTTGGCCTTCTCCAAACACCGCGGTCAGGCTCTTACAAGAGGCTTGCAGAGAGTGTCGAACCATGGGGTGCAATGAAAAGCTCCCTTGAGCGAAGTTTGGAGAGTCTCATTGGGGGTGCCAAAATCAGGGGGTTTGGAAAAATGCCTTGAGAGCACCCTGCTGAGAGTGATGTGAATGGAGAACGCTTGTAGCAAGTAACTTTACAAGCAAACAACACACATGCACAAGCACGCCCGTGATTGCCTAAAATCACGCTTTGTGTGATACCAAAGTAGGACGTCCTCATGACTCAAGACTACTTTAGCACTTCAAAGAGGGTTCCCTTGATATATCACAAAAGTTGGTCTTACAAATTGTTTCGTGGCGCCCGAATATCACTTGGCGGAAGCAAACCAATGCCATGGCGCATCCACTGAGCACACGCGAAGACATACCAAGAAATTCGTTGCTTGCACGCGTGTGCCGCAGCAGCGGCGCAATACTGGGCCTGCGGCGCTGTACCCAGTTGCCTTGGGGGCTTCTCAACAAGACACAATCAATTCTCTTGGCCTCCGCGCCCCACGCAAAGGCGCGGCCCTCCGCAGACAGCACCGCGGTCGCGAAGCGGCCGCACGCCGCACTGTGGGCAACGAAGTCTGTGGCCTTACGAAATCCGTGCACTTTTGGGTGACTTCTCAAAGTGGGACCCCTTGTTGGCAATGTGACATCACAAGGAATCTGGCCATGTTTGAGCGACCACTATTTTGAGAATCTGAGAAACTCCCATAATATGAACCGTTGCACTATGAGCGTGTTTGGTTATGTCAAATTAGGTAGACCCGCAAAATGGGTGTCTTTCCTTGGGTTGCACTTAAATGGGTCGGAATCTCAACTGAGGACCGGGTGGTGTTTGTGCCCACAACCACTTGGAGCAACGGTCAACACTTTCTGATAATCAAGTACACTCACTCACAAAATATCCATGGCAATTTACTTAGACTATACTTCCGAAACCGAAAATAACGTCTCCACGAGTAAAGGACATTCTTGGGTGAGCATGGTTTGCCCCATATGTGTAAAAGACAATAATTCGCCATGTAATCATACGTCTCTGTACAACCCAGGTACATACGAACTTCTCCCTGAAGGGTTCGTAGTCTCGAAGACCCCTACTCAATATCACGGTAGTCAGTTCCCACAACCTGTTGGGGTCAGGATTCACAAATGGGCCAATGGGGTTGTCTTTGCTGAGGGGGCCCGTTGCGGGTGTTGCCAAAGGTCAATAGTCCGCAATGAGAGATGTCGCCCTGTACCTCCCAGGGCTTGATGAACTAACCCACTGTTTTTTGATCGAGTGCTTTTTTCCTTGAAAGAAACCGATGAAAAGGGGGCCGGCGAGTGAATAGCGAAATTTCATGAGGGGTCAACTCGAAGTTCCCCGCCCAAAGGCCAAACCCCAAAGCAGAATGACACGAAGCCCCAGGGTTCCAATTCTTTAAGTGTGCCAAGGCAAACACGCCCAGGTCCCTTGTCGACAAATCAGCCACCCCTTTGATTTAGGTCTACCTTGGGGTCGTCAAAAAATGGAACCCTGCTGAGCCTTATCCAGAGCTTGTTTACTCCTCCAAGGTTTATCCGGGCGTGTGGTCCAGGATCCTGGTACACCTTCATGATGGCCAAAGTCACTTCTCATTGTGCTCTGATAAGCAACCCCATTTTGTGAGTGTGATCCCTGGCATCCCATCACAGTAGGCCCTTTCTCATGTAGCGCCGTTGCTTTGTGTACTCTTGAGTCCCTGCCCCGGCATGTCTTACGGGCCTGCTGCGCTGGCTCGGTCAGCACATCCACCTCCGCAGGGTTTTGGGAGCCGGGATGCGCATAGAATCTGGGTACCTTGTCTAAGGGCTCAGCCGCAGTACCCTTGGAGTAGGTACCTCTGATATGTTTGTGTATCTATATACATATGCACCCTTTGTTCAATATACTGCGCATCCACCACACATATGGGAGTGTCTGAAATCGGGACCCCGTAAAATGGCAACTCTCCCGTTGGTTTCCCCTTAAAACCTAACAAAAAAACAGAACCAAGTTGGGAACAAACCGAAACCAGCGAAACTCACATTTGCCGTTCCTTGTCCTTTTGCCGCAGCCCTGGGGATGTCTCAGCGCTCGTAAGTCCATCGCACAAGACAATGTGTCTACCCAAGCTGGCTTTCTCAATCAAACAGAGGCCCACATACACACAAATACTTGCTACTAGCTGTTGATTTTATGTACATATGCATATTCAATATGCATGTGACTGTATGCGCTAATATGTGCTAACATGTGTGCATGTGTGCGTGGGTGGGTGTGTGACACATGATGTGTGCGTGTGCGTGGGTGTTTGTGCGCGTGTTGGCGTGGGTGTTTCGTTGTGTTTGTGTTTGTGTGTGTGTGTGCGTGTGGATGGGGCCAATCCATGCCTGTGCGGGTGTGTGCAAGTGCAATTGTTAAAGGAACTGCGATGTCCTTTATTGTGGTGTACTGTAAGGTACTGTAACGTAACGTAATGTAAGCTGAAATGTAACATGCAATGT